TCCTCCTTTATGCACTGTGCTTTATTGTCTTAATATTAGGTGGTAAAACTCTCAGGTGATTCCTGTTCCAAATGAGAAGACGAGATTATATGATGTCAGTTGTCTGGAAGTGGGAACAGAAGCACCCAGCTCATCCCTTCCGTCCATGAGGGGTGTCTGTACATAGGAGGTTGGGATGAGAGGAGTCTGTTACCAGCCTGAGAGACAGGGTGTCGTAAGGAAATTGACTGAGAGGATGAAGAAGCTTGGAGACACAAGGGAGGAATTTAACTCTAACAGATTGAAAGTTTTTGAAGAGTCCGTTTAAAAAATCTATTGACAGGAACTGCAGGAGGCAGATAGCGATGAGAATGAGATGTAAGTTGTGTTCAGGAAGCTGCCTCCATGACAGTCCACCTCTCCCCATCCCTCTCCCCAGCGTCTCAAGGTATTGGATGTGCGCAAGTGGAGGGGAAGGTGCGGTCTGGAGTTCTTGGAGGCCCCTATTGGTGACTTTAGCAAGAGGCACTCTCATTATGGTTGTTGAGAAAGTCATAATGAGGATATTTGTGACTTAAGTTCAGAGCATCAACTTCCAGTCTACACAAGGAGCTAATTCGTGATGTTTCAGAGAAAATCAGCAAGAAGGCAATAGCCTGAGGCCATTGTCCCCATTTTAAAGGACGTTCAATGATTGCTCAGTCCTTTGCAGGGGACCTTGAGGGGTTCCTTGGAAGTCAGGTTTGGAACCCCTGATACAGAGCTTACATTCGTCCTGGAGGAACTTCAGGCAGATGTTGGCACAGAGGCAAATCTATTTTTACCAGGTTGTTAGTCTCTTCTATGCTCTACTGACTTTCTTGGCAAACTTTAATTTTAGAAAATTAATGGCAATGCTATTCCCCAGAGTCCGAGGAACAGCTTTGTCATCTTCCACCTCCGGCCAGCCATTAATGAGACACGATATATTTTGACGTCAAAGGACATATTTGAACTACTTGACTTTCATTTCATCTCTGTGCACTTTTCTCCGCCTGTGTTCTAGTCGTTTGTTTTCATGTTATCACTTGGCCTGTAAAATACCAAGTGCGAGAAGAGCCGGGATAGTCATGACACCAGCCAGGCTAGACGGTTTGCCCCCGAGAAAGCCTGGCAGCATGTTAGAAGTGTCTGGGGAGTTCCCCTGTATGCCCTGGTCTCCTTTCTGTGATTGTCAGCAGCAGGCGCTTGTGTTTATTAGGCAGAACCTCACCTGGGAGAACAAGCTTCAGAATTATCGTTAGACTGATAATAGCTTATAGAATGCACTTATAATGTGCCAGACATTTTTCTAAGCACATCACCTGTATTGATCCACTGATTCTCATAACATCCCTGTGAGGTGAATACTATTGTTATCCCCACCTTTCCCAAGAGGAAGCTGAAACACAGTTTCCCAATTGACCAGTAACTGGAACTTGACTTCTGAGCCAGTCAACCTAAGTTGGGGTCTGAGCTCTTAACCACTTGGTTGAGCTGTCTCCCATCTCAACTCGGTTGAAAAAATGTTATATTAGTTTTCACTGTATAACAAAGTAATCAGCTATACATGTATATATGTGTGTATATATATATACATATATATGTGTGTGTGTATATATCCCCTCTTTTTGAATTTCTTTCCCATGTAGGTCACCATAGAATATTAGATAGAGTTCCCTGTGCTATACAGTATGTTCTCATTGGTGTCCTATTTTATACACAGTATCAATACGGTATATATGTCAATTCCAATCTCTCAATTTCACCCACCCACCCTCTTTCCCACTTGGTATCCATGCATTTATTCCCTACATCTGTCTCTCTATTTCTGCTTTGTAAATAAGATCATCTATACCAATTTTTTCAGATTCTACATATATGTATTAATATAAAATATTTGTTTTTCTCTGATTTCACTCTGTGTGATAGTTTCTAGGTCTTTACATATTACCCTATTTTGTTCCTTTTTATAGCTGAGTAATGTCATATATATCTATATGACACCTCCTTTATCCATTCCTCTGTTGATGAACTTTTGACCTGATCTGGGGCACCATTTGATAGCAGCCCAGACTCCAGGAACCCTAGTCAGAGGCTGGAGTTAAGCCGGGTACCCCAGTTAAGAGGCCGACGCTGTTGGAAAGGTGGGAGGTGTTGTGGGTGCTGAGAGAAGATGGGAGATGATAGTGGGAGAGTGAACGTGTAGAAAATGGGAAAAACAGCATGTCCAGTGGTGAGTGGGGGTCTCCATTCTGGAGATGAAGTGAGATAATATTTGAAAATTCGTTTGGGATCTGGAAAGTTCTGTAAGATTGGTGGGACAGTAGTGTGTGGTGGAATCAGTGGGTTTGGTTGAGAACCTGGGAGGCAGAAGTGTGTGTGCAGAGAGCAGACATTGGTGGGCTCTGAGAAAGGTGGTTCACACTGGTTAGCCCACGGGGAGCCCCCTGGCTGTGGGACTGCTCCACAGTTCCTCTCTGGAACCCATTTCCCCCTCTGCAGCTGTTGGGAGGGCCCAGCTCTTGACTCGACATCTCAGACCACCGGAGAGGACTGGAGCTCACTGCCACGAGAGCCCCCAAAAGCAGTGTCTCAAAAAACGTTCTGATGGGACTCTTCAACCTCTGCCCTCTCTCTTCTCCTGTTACAGAGCATGTTGAGCCGCCATATACTATGCTTCCATCATCCCTCTTATCTGCTGAATACTTGCTGACCATGATCTTTGCAGTTCATTAAGGTGAACTTGACATTAAAAAGATCAAGCCCCTCTTAGGACTTCCCTGATGGTCCAGTGGTTAGGACTCAGCGTTTCCACTGCAGGGGCATGGGTTTGATCCCTGGTCAAGGAACTAAGATCTTATATGCTATGTCATGAAGCGAAAAAAAAAAAAAAAAAAGATCAGGCCCCTCTTAATTTCAAAATGAGCATTTGGTGCGAACATTGTATGGTCACTCTGTTGATTCTTTCCTATCTACTTAACACTAACACCTAACATTGATATAATCCTTCTTTTTACTCATGCCTTGAACTACCATCTATTTACGTACTAATGTACTTTAAAAATAATTATATTAATATTATTTTTCTAAAAATGATAATACTGAGTAAAAAATAATCCCCAAATCCCACCAGGTAGAGGTAACCATCTCAGACAGCCTATTGAACCTTTTATTCAGATCCTTCTCTATAAAACCCTGAATTCAATAGTTTACATGGAAGAGATTATGTCATATGTAAGTTTCCATGACTTCTTTTCACTTAACAATATGTTGTAGTCAGACTTTCTTCTAAATGGAGATGCTCGTTTGTATTATTTGTCCTGCATTCTCCTGTTTGTACCAGCAGTTTAGTTAACCACCCCACTGTCAATTATTCATTAACAAGAGTCTGAGCACCACGTAGGGATCATCTGACTCTGCTAATCCAGGCTCTAGGGCTTTGCTGTCAATCTTTGGGATCCTTGACATCGTATAATAGAAGGAGCATGAAAGGGATGAGTAAAGAGTCCAAGACTCTTCTCCCAGCTCTGTCACTCAGTAGCTCTGTGACCTTAAACTCACTTCATGTTTCTGAACCTCGTGCCCTCTCTGTAAATGGTGGCATGGGGATGTGTGATACAAAAGGTCTGTTCTGCATATTCACAAATGTGCTTCAAATCATGTCTCCCATCCCATCTTAAATATTCATGTCAGTTTTATTCATCAGTACTCGTTAAGTTGGAATATGTATGGAGGGAGTTATTATACTTTGCCCTGAAAGGAATTTTTAGACAAGAGAATGAAATTATTTCTCCTCCTTTCAGAGTTGCAATGAAATTGTGTATGTGTGGGTGCATGCTTGTGTGTGTCTGTGGTGTGTGTGTGAGGCAGGGGTGGAGGTATCCTGACAATATTTTAAAAGTATCACTCTGTCCTTCCATCCAGCTTTTTCCTCTTTCTTCCCTCTCTCTCCCCTTCCTCCTCTCTTCTTTCTGTCTATATTTTCCTTCTTTTCTTCTTCTCCTTCCTGTCCGTCCTTTCCTGAAGTGAATTGAAGACTAATGCTCTTCTTTCTGCTTTAGTCAGTGGAAACTTTCATCCCATAATACAAGATAGCAGAAGCCATAAAGACAAGTGGGATTGTGTCATCCTAATTTATCAAAGAAATGTACTGTTCCATAGTGGTGATGATGTAGATCAAATTATTTCACTCAACTGATGCCCATGATTAAACCAGTTTGAAAATCTGAGTTAATAACACCCAAGGAATCCAGGTAAAAACACTATGAGGGTAAACAGGATGCTTTAGAACGTTTGGTATGATCCCCTTTTAATTGTTCACTATCTATCCTGAGCCAGTGTGGATTGAATTCTTTTAAAATGAATGAAATACTTCAGTTTCTTCCTGAAGAATGCATTTGGCACATATTTTAACACTTTCTCTCCATTTGGGGGTGCTCGGTGGCATCATTGCAGGCAACACTAATTTGCACTTTGCTTTGAGAAGTGTGCTCAGGGAGTTTGAGGTGTACAGAGCCGTTTCTTTTTCAGTCCTGCACTTTCTGGCTTCTTGGTCAGCTTTTCATGTCTTTCTGTCTCTTCTCAAAGCCAAGCCATTCTGGGCATAGCTGCTAAATCAGTTCTTTGTAGCTCTACACCACTTCTCACCATTTCACATTAGCTACATCTAATTTATTGTGGAACTGAACACATGATATTATTGGAGTTTTTAATAAGTTAGTAGTAAAAAAAAACAACAACAACAAAAAACTGAGTAGGCTCCAGAAGCATTTTCTGCTCATTCCCATGTTATTACCTAAATTCCAGAAACTTGAGGTTTCCAGAGAGGTGTTCTCCAGATAATTGCTGTATTCTGGTCAAGAACCCATGATTCTGGTTTGAGTGTGGACTCTTTTTTTCTTAGCAGAAAGAGTCAGTATTGCCTTTGGTCCAGCAAGGGGCTTATGACTCTCAGTTCCGTGCTCTCCTTGATATCTGACCCCCTGGTTCTTGTTTTGCAGTCCCCAGTCTGTTCCAGACCGTCTGAGGATCCGGGTGAACAAAATCAGTTTACAAGACTATGAAGGATTCCACTACGACAAAGAGAAACTCCGGGAAGCCTGTAAGTTGAAAGTGCCTAATGGATGCAATGGGATCAGATTGTTTTCAGTCTTTTGGTCCTCCTTGATTTGATGGACAGATTCACCTCTGTCTGGAAGTCATGGTTAAAGAAATGAAGGGAAGCATAGTAACATGTGAACCCAAAGTGATGCCATATGGGCTGAAGAACATGGAACTAGGAAAGGAAATTAGAAGAAAGTAGTTCTGCCCTTGATGCTATGTTAGGATTTCTTAGTTATTAACCAGTTTAGTCTGAGGTTTACATAAAATGAGAAAAGCAGAAAGTTGGTGACACCATATGATATAGTAATATCTAGGAAATTCTTAAGACATGCATCTCTTCTTGGAGACTGTGTTACCAATTACTGTCTTCATTCTTCATGCCGGTGTGACAGTTACCTATGAAGACACTTCCTTCACTTCTAGCTGTTATGTGATTATGTGACATCTAAGAAAGATCCACAGCATTGTAAATGTCATGGTAAAATGAGTCATTGATGAGGTGCCAGTGTTTCTGAAATCTTAAATTGAGTCAGTGTATGAATTCCTTCTCAATGTTCGTATTTTCCATATGCCTCTTTAAATATATAACCAAGTATTAGTTCACTTTGCTCATCATTTCGTATTTATTGAGCATTTGTTACATTCTAGTCACTATTTTAAATCCCTGTCTGCATATGATATATGAAGTAATTGGGGAATGTTGACCAGAAGCAGTTAAGAGTATAGATGTGTTAGATATTAAGGTTCTGGGTTCCTTCTTAATTGTGGAGTCTGATAGTCAAGTGCAGTAAAGTTTGAGAAGATGAGGGCCAGTATCCAAGGGCACAGACAGGGATGCAAACAGAGAGAAAGAAATGTTTTGTAGAACCAGAGATTTATGAACTAAAACTCAGACTGTCCCCAAGTGTGGACCTGCCTGAAGGTGCAGAAGATGCAGATAGTTAAAACTGGCAGGAATGGAGTAGGGGGCACATTTCTGAGCTATGATTCTTGAACTTATAATCTGGAGTGGGGTGTAAGGGAGGGAAGTCCCAAAATCCAGGACAGTTTCGGGGTGAGCAGGGACTTTTAGATCTGGATGTGGCAAAGGGCATGGATCCACACCCCCACCCCCAGCTCCCATAGTTCAGACACTGAACCTATCAGTGCACCCTGCCATGGTGTGTGTGGCATCATTTCTCTCTCATTCTATCACTGCTTCATCTTCTCCAACCCTCTTCATCCCTTTCTGTAAACATCAGTTCCCTTTAGTTTCTCCCCACTCTTCACTCCATCCTTCTCTCTTGTTCCCTTTATAGTAAGAATGCTTGGAGGTGGAGGAGTAGCAATGCCCTGAACTTCTGCATTTCCCCCTTCTGCCAATGGCAGATTGTATTTTCTAATGTAAATGAGATTACAGATTAGTGCACAATGTAGGTTAACCTGTAAGGTAGTGGACCTATATGTTTGCAATGGTATGTGTAGCTACAGTGTAAATTAAACTGCCTTTTAGAGGCTACTAATGATAAAGAATGGTGTTTTATGTGCTTTTTCTTACAAACTTCTAAACAAATAGCTTAAGTTTGAAAAATTAGAAAGATCCTGGATCTCAAGCCAGTAATGTTTTGCAGCTTACCAAGAATCCTGAGGAGAATCAGTTGGGAGTGGGGAAACATTTGAACTTTTTGACTGACATGAGATTTGAGGCTTATCTGTGGATTCCAATGATCTGGTCTATCTTTTCTGGGGCATTATCTGTCCACTATTACCAGAAGTAATTGTGTATTGAGTTTTTACAAGATGACATTTCCTGGCAAGTGCTCTATCATCATCTCTTACGTGATAAAGCATCTCTGTGAGGGAATTTCTGATCTGAAATTGGAGGGGGTGACGTGGTATGAATATAAGTCCAATGAATTCAGCCATATCTTGGGACCCAAAAGAACAAAGAAACACTCAAAGAGGGAATTAAGGCATTATTTCATTCTAAAGATTTGAGGAAAACAACATATTAGAAATAAAGGCGGCCAACTCAGTCATTCTATTTTTAATAAATGGTGATGATGCTTCTCACTTGCAGTTGTTCAGGGAAGTTTGTCCTCAGGGGTTTGTGAATTTATTCTTATTCACACTCACCCTTTTTCCCTGGCTCCAACTTGCAAGAGACTACAGATGTGTGGGAAGACCGACTGTTCAAATTGAGTACAAAGGGGAAAAACCAATTCAAATCCAAATGTGCAGTACATACCAAAATAGGTTATTTCAGAAGCGTTAATACAGTGAGATGCAGAGAACACATTGAGATAAAAGGGACTCTAGGAAGGTGCTCTGACCTGCATCTTAGAAGAACAAAATGGGTGAATCCCATTTTGGTCATTCATTTATTGTCAACATCCAAGTCTAAACTAGAGCAGTCCTACATTACTGGTTTAAAAAATTAGTTCCCTTTTTTGATTATACACCAAGTGATTCATCCAGACAGCATGTGGCTGTTTGCCTTTACTGTTTAATAGAATCTTGCTCATGTGTCTGGCTTATTATTCATATTAGATTATAAACTCAGATGTTTGTTGTCTTACAGAGCCTTGCTTCTCTCTGTAAGGCAGGACTCCATGATAATCACAGAATGGCAGCCCTTTTAATGACTATGCTTATTTTGGCATAGAGAAAATTGGCTATAGTATTTTAAATACTTCTTATCCCCCTTCCATTAGCCCCAACTCACCTGGCAGCTTCTCCTTTAAAATATAACAACACAGAGAAGTAGAGTTTTTTTGCCAGTCTCTCCCTCTGCCCTTGTTGATTAATTTCAGACTTACTTATAACAGTTAAAGTCTTTTACCCTGGATTTATGAATTATTAATCCTCAAGATAATGGTTATGATGTCCAAAAGAGAAAATTCTATTCAACTTGAATTAGAACATAAGGAGAAAGTGGTCATCTTAAAAAAATAATTCTTAATGTAAGGCTATAATAATTATAGCAGAAACTCACTCCCATAATCTGAATGAAGTATGTAAATGAGTCCTGATCATGTATTCTAGGCAAAGGGTAATCAGGTTTTTTTTAATTTCTTATGTTTCATTGACACATGGCATATAGGTTGGTATTTAGAATAACTTGATACTGGCCAAGATCTAACTCTGTCTCTGGTAAACTGACTAAACTCTACTTCTGGCTTCAGCTTACTCTGCATGTTTGAATGGCAGATTCAATGATTGCTTGATTGATGATTCATATGATTCTAGGGCCTAAAACACAAAAGTACAAACCAGTTTGAAGCTAATTGAAAACAGATGTAGCCTATAAAGGTAAGAGGTACTGACATTTTTTGTATCAAATGCAATGTTCAACCACCCTTTTACAAACAGCATCCAGTACAATGGGTATTATCTGGCCATTTACAATTTAGTATATCTATATAGTTATAATATCTCAGTATATTATCTACTGATGATTATGGCTAATTAAATATTTAGGCAGTTGTCCTAAGGGACTTTCCTCATCTTCTGTCTAATGACTTAGTAAAAGACTCGAAATGTTTGGGTTTGCATCTTGCTTGCAACCTTGACAGAGTAATTATGCTGATGATCAAATCTCTCATCTCTCAAATGAGAATATAATTGCAGCCTCATAGGGTGCTGAGGGTTAAATGTAATGTTCTATATGAAACCGATGCTGCACAGCCTGGCAACATTAGCAAGTTTTCCCAAAATGGTAACTATGATTGTTGGGGTTGCAGTTATGAAAGACACGGCTGTGGCATTGCCCTTCAATCTGCAGGTCCGAAAGTCAGGCTCACAGCTGCTGCCCTGTTTTTATGTATCTTCTCATCAAATTGCACACATCATTGCTACCTTCCAACTCACTTCAAAAAGAGGATTGAAGACACTAGTATATATTACAGAAAGAAAATATAAGTAACCATTTGATTTACTTTTATTGGGGATGGCTGTGATGGCAAGATATGTCTACCTATGAAATCCTTATTTAGAGATCAGGTCAGATATATACAAACTCTCTTAAGTCCCTATACATTTTTCTTAAGTTCATCATCTGTTATCCATCACAGAATATTTAAAAATAAACTTCACTTTTGAATAATTTTAGATTTATACAGAAGTTACAAGGATAGTACTGGGAGTTCTTACGTACCTCTTACCCAGTTTTTATTGTTAAACATTTTATGTTTTCATAGTGTATTTGTCAGAGAAACTGATACTGCTTTATTACTGTTAACTAATCCCAGGGCTTCCTGTTCTGGGATCTAATCCAGGGTACCACGTGCCTGGGGTCGGCCTGTCTCCCCAGTCATCCCTGGTCTCTGACAGTTTCTCAGTCTTTCCTCCCCACCCATCCCCCATGGCCTTGATTGTCTTGAGAAATACAGGCCAGTGTCCTGCACAGTATCGCCTATTATGGTTTCATCTGTTGTTTTACTTATAATTAGGTTAGAGTCATAGGCTTTTGGAAAGAACATTGCAGAGGTAAAGTGCTCTTCCCCATCACGTCAGGGGTTACCTGGTACCCACATGACATGCCTGGTCACGGTAACCTCATCTCCTGGGTTAGGGTCTATGGGCCAGGTTTCTCCACTGTAAAGTTACTATCTTTTTCCATTCTTTGTGAGTCACCATATTTCACTCATCTTCAAAACAGGAGAATGTGGATCATTGGATTTTTTTTTTTATTGTTTCCAGTTTTTATGTTTGAGTCACTTGCCTTTGATAAGCATGCCAAAATGCTGGAGCCATTCACAAATCGATGCATCCATGCTTCCAAAAACTATCTATTTGTGTCAGTTATATGGTGGATCTCACCCTAAATGCCAGGCACTGCAAGATGAAATCAGGACATGAAATATTACAGTGTCATTTATTCAGTACACATGTATTGAGTGGTTTCACTGAGCAAACAGTGGTGGAAAAAGAAAAGCAGAAATAATCCCTGACTTGCAGGAGCTTTTCCTCATAAGATGAGGATTATGATAGAGCCATGGAAACACTATGTGTCTATTT